GGAGGCTGGGGTTCCTCACAAATACATGCACACAAAAAACAGCCATGGACCACACACAACCCTCATCCACGCCTCTGTTTTCCTCTGCATTGCTTCCTATTTCCATTTTGAGATGGATTACGGAAGAAAGTAGAGGCACTTGGTACAGAATGAGTCACCCTTATCAGGATTCCCAAATCCAAAATATTCCCAAATCCAAAGCTTTTCCTGGGTGGCTGAGAGAGTGACACCTTTGCTTTCTGATGCTTCAGCGTAGACAAGCTTTGTTTCATGCACAAAATATTATGTACAAAACTACATCCAGGCTAGGCGTATAAGGTGTATGTGAGACCTCAGTGAATTTTCTGTTTAGACTTGAGTCCCATCTCCAAGATAATTCATTAAGGATATACAAGCAAACATTCTCACATCTGGAGAAAACAAATAAATCCAAAAACCCAAACACTTCTGGTCCTGAGCATTTTGGATAAAGGAGAATCAACCGGTACAGGATTCTGGGTTGCTAGTGGAGATATTTGTGCATATTTTCACACTTTGGGAAAGGCTTTCTGTATGGCTTTGTTGCACACACACACAAAAAAGTCCCAAAATTGCACCATTAAAAAAATTGGGCCACAAAAGTGGACTCTAGAAGCCACGCTATGTCCATCCCTGCTCCAAAAAGATCTATTTCAAGACTCCTATATAGACCACCAGCACAAAATAGTTTACAAACATGTAATCCCAGTTGCATTAAAGCAATGGAAGAGAGATCTACCGATGGGAAAACTTCAGCCGCTCCTATATAATGGTGCAGAATCTCAATTTCTAATCTAAATTTTTTTTTAAAAAAGTTAAACATTCCCATAAATCCAGTTGGATTACATTGGGTTACAGAAGAGCCGAACTAGGAACATGAGGAAACTTTCTGCCAAGAAGAGACAAAGTGTCTCAGTCCAATCTCTCCTATTCTGTTCCAAAGCCCAGAAAATCCTACCAAGGTTAGCTCTGCAATCTTTTTCTTTTTCCATTTTTTAAAGATAAGGCATTGAGTGTAACAGATACGTGTGGGAACTTAAAACTACACAAAGCAGCTTCTGTCGCTTCGGCAACTTCATTCCCTGTCCACGAAATACGATAATTATTTTTCTTTTTCTTTCTTTTTCTAAATCCTTTTCGCTTCTGTACAAATAATTTCACATGTCAGAAAAGACACCCGTCTTCGATAAGATATCAAGACAGAACTTGTTGGTTTGGTAGGAAGTAGTCTAAAATAAAATTAAAAAGGGAAAAGGGAGGAGGGAGAGGCAAGAAAGGATTGATTTTAAAACAAAAATGAACAACACAAAAGCATAGCTAACTACAGGCTGGTATATACACTTTTGTTCACCACATTTATTGTGGTTTCTTCTGTCAACAGGTCAGACTAACTGGTCCAGATCCTTGTACGTGTGCAAGAATGTAAATTTGCTGAACTGAACCAGAATTGGGGGGGAAAAACTCATTTTAAAACCAGTGACAACATACTAAAAACTGTACACTGTTGTCCGATAAACTTATAAAGGATCCACCCACCCATTCCAAAGTCACTATGATGGTATAAAAGTGAATTCAGGTGTCTTTTAACTATATAATAATAATTATTATTATTAATATTTTTTTAATAAAAGTCACTTTTCCCCCCTTTCCAGCACTTTAAAAGAAGCAAAAACAAAATAACTGCGGCCCAGTTATCTCCACTGTCTCTGCCCGATCAGGCACAAGAAGATGCTGAACAAGAGGACCACTTTCGAAAGGCTTGTGCTGGCGGCCGAATCGCTTGCTTTTTTGTCCATTTTGTTGTTGGTGTTTCGCGTGACTTCTGTCGCGTTGAACACGAATTCAGGGGAGCACTGCGGCATCTCGCACCCGCTTCCGCTTCCTTCGCCGCTGCCTTCGTCGCCTACAGGGAACAAAGAGAAGATTCTCAGTTATGATCATGAAGCATTGAACACTCAAACAATGATACCTTTATTGGGACAACCAAAATGCACAATTACATGTTGCAGGCTTTTTGAAGTCACACCAGCTTCTTCATCAAGCAAACAGGAGGGGGAAAACTGAAGATGTTAGTCATAGGCTTGCATTTTCTGTTTCTGGTCTTAGTTTAGATGGTAAAGGGGGGCTATTCTGCAGGCTGGTATCTCTGCCTTTGGCCATGCAGTCACTGGAAGATCTTTAAAGTCAAGGAAATTTAATGTCCATTTGCAATTCAAAGAAGATGTTTCCTTAAAATCCAGCATGTCTCTTTTCTCTGTGAGGCGACAGGCCCCTATGTAGGCAGAGAACACTGAATTTCTCAAGAAGTCTTCATGTCTTGCATCAGGAAAACTTTAGGTGGTGTAGAGGTAAAGCATTGAACACTGTTATCAACTTCTGTTGCGACTGCACAGCAGACACTCTCAAAGTCAAAAGGAACAAAGGGAACAATATAATTGTGTTATATTAAGGGTGGTGTGATATAGTTGTGTTGTATTAATGGAGGAAAGCGAGCACTGTGGGCTACATTCAAAAAACAACCTACGCACAGGGTCGCTGAGATATCGCACCATACAGAAGTTGACCATAGAGTCATGCTGGAGGACCTCCAGATGCCTAGAGAGACCACCTCTCCAGGCATCTGGAGGTCCTCCAGCATGACTCTATGGTCAACTTCCAGCAGAACTATAGCCTTCACCATTATCCATGGTTCATTCACACTATCCACTGTATGTCTGGGAATGTACTCCTGCGATAGAGGGGTCAGATTTTACAGTATTTGTGGGACTGCAACATGTGCTTCTTTTGGAATTCTTAATTTTGAATTTGGTCATGATCTCCTTTTCAATTCCAAGCCCCTTTTAAAAAGACAAAAATCTGTCTCTAACTTTCTTGAGATAAAAGTGGTACATGATCTGTCACAATGGCAGTCTCACTTACTTATATCAATGAAGTCAACATCATTCCCGTTGTAAGCATTCTTCATTTTGTTGGTCATCACTCGGAGGGCTACAATTTGTCGGCGAATCACCAGGTCTGGTTTTGAGGTGTCAACAACCACTTCAGGATTGTTTGCCTGGTTGGCTAAGCCGTTTGCCGTGACAGCGAAGACATACCTATGGAGACAAAAACCATCATTTCCATCAATTGTAAGCCCAGTCATGATGGCTCCATGACCATATTTTTCAGTCTGTAGCTAAGCTATACCTTGGCTCAGCCATCATTCAAAATGTAGAGCACAGTCAAGAAATTGGAAGAGAACTAGGTCAAAGAGAGGGAGTTGTGAAGGAATTGGACAAGATCCTCAGGTGTAAAGTTATATCACTGGGTCCCAACCTCAGGTTTATCCATGTCAGAGTCCTTCTAATTTTGAAATGTGGATAGTGAAGAGATCTCACCGGAAGCGAATCAACTAATTTGAAATATGGTGCAGGAGGAGATACCGTGAATTACCATGAAGAACAATAAATGGTTCCTAGAGCTAACCAAACCTGTAATCTCCCTAGAAGCTAAAACGATTCTGCTGAGGCTATTGTTTTTTTGGAAACATCATCAGATGACGTGACTCACTGGAGGAGATGATAATGCTGGGAAAAGAGGAAGGCGATAGGAAAAGAGGAAGATCCCATGAAAGATGGATTGACTCAATCAAGCATGCCATGAACCTGAGTTTGCAAGATCTGAGCAAGGCTATGGATGACCAGGGCTTTTTCCTTTGTCATAGGATCACCAGAAGTCAAAGGCAACTTGATAGTAGACAATAAAAACAAACCCAGCTCTCTACTGATGGCTATGGGCCACAAGTGGCCAACTTGAGTTTACATGAAATCTTGAGAAGCTTTCACCAATTACTGGTTTAGATTAGCACATACTGCAGAAGAAACTGTTTTCTAGGAAAGCCAATTCCTGGCTGTCAATGGCCAGGAAAGGAAAAATAGTCAAGTGCAGAGATGGGCAAAGTGTGGCCCTTGGACCACATGTGGCCCCTGGGACCCCTAAATGCAAAACCTGAAACCCCTGGAAACTTTCCAAAGCCCCCAGATTCCTCCACCTCCAATTTATGATTTAATAAGGAGCAATTTTCAGATGATTATGACCACCCATGGTATAGTGGATTGACTAGTTTATGCAAGCTAAATCCATGACCTTCTAAAAATATGTTCAATCCAGATATTGGAGAGCCCTGAAAGTGATATATATGGCAAGATGCTGGAAGTCAAGACGGGAATGAGCTCAAACAAAGAGTTTTGACTTCATCCAAACCTGCTTTTGTCGCTCCCATTCCAACACTCTTCTTCATTGACGTTCCCAACGGCCATTTTCTCATTGTTACAGATATTGCTGGGAAGGGAAGACCAGAATTTCTTGGCTTGTTTCAGCTTTTCCTTCACATCTGTCACCTAGTGGTCAAAATAAGAGAAGATCTCAGAATCAGAGCAAATCCTCTTTCGGTGAGCAACCCTTTTCCTTCTTTCCTTGAAAATCCCAGCTGGCAATTTGCCAGTGAATTACAATGGTGTAAATTGAAATTAGCACCATTCCAACTCATTGTTATGATTGATGTGGAGACTGGAATTGAGTTTGGACTACACAAAGACCAAAATACACCTCAAAACCTTCCCTGTAAGCAGCACAGACCTCATCCCACAACACAGCTATTTCCATGTTGTTGGAAAGCAGAGAAATAAGCAGGATCTAACTGATTAATTTGATTTGATTTTATACCCGGCTTTTCTCCCAAATGGGACTCAAAGCACCTTAAAATATAAATTAAAGCAGAACATATAAAGCAATGTAGAGTACACGAGTTAAAAAAATTATTAAATCATATACTCAATTGTTGTTGTCCTTGTGTGCCTCTAAGTCATTTCTGACTTATGGTGACCCTAAGGCAAACTTATCACAGGGTTTTATTCCTACGATATGTTCAGAGGGGGTTGTGCCTTTACCTTACTCTGAGGCTGAGAGAGTGTGACATACCAAGGTCACCCAGCAGGTATCCATGTGTGAGCAGGGATTTGAACCCAGGTCTCCAGGGTCAATAGTCCAATGCTGAACCCACTACACCACTCAATTAAAATACTACAATGGGTCCTTGGTATCCACTGAGATTCGATCCATTTGGTATCCACTGAGACTTGACCATCCATGGATTTGAGCATCCATGGACAGCAAACTCCATTGTCCCCAATGGCTGTACATTCATGTGGCTATGATAGTGGCTATACACACATTGCACTGCCACTAGAGACAACAGGACATGAGGTCCCACATTTTTTCATATCCGCATGGAGGTTCAGAACAGAACCTCCATGGACACGAAGGGCTGACTATATTTATTAAATATTTTCAAGCCATGGGTAGTTGAATCCATAGATATAGAGCCTGTGTATATGTAGGGCTGACTGTTCTTTTAAGACAGTAACACTGAAAGAATTAGAACATTTAAAATATATACTGCATCTTCAGAGGTCACAAATATGCCCAAAGGACTCTCCAGGTGCCTTTTGCCGTGGATCCAGCTACAAGAAAATAACTGGATGCATCCCCACTCATCCTTTTGCTCTCTGATAACACTGAAATGGTTGTGCTAAAAAGGTGAGTTTTTGAGAGCCATAGCTATGTGATACACAAGCGTCTCCCAATGCAGGATCCTTGCCCTCATTCAGAAATAGCTGGTCTACAGATCTTCGCTCACTCACCAGCCGATCCAAACTCGTGCCTGCGGCTGTCGTCGGACGCTCTTCTGGGTTGTAGGGTCTGAAACGGGCACTGAAGCTGCTTTCCGAGGCTGAGCGAGACGTTCGGGTTTGGGCCAGCATCTTGGGCTGTCCGCATCCTTGGAAAACCTATCAAGAAGGCAGAGTAGCAGAAAAGCTTGGGAAAAATGCAAAAGCAGTCCTTCCCAGATGTAGAACAAAGCAGTTGCGCATGTGATGCTTCTTTCCCTAGTTCTCACTGCTGAGGCTGAGTCAGCACAGACACGTTTAGGAAGGAGTAACAACCCTGTTTCCAGTCCACTAAAAAGTCATGAATTACAGCCATGGCCATAATTCCATTCCAGCAAAAAAAGCAGCTGGTTATAAAAATAACTTGTTAGAAAAATGAGATTATTTCCTAGCTCTGATCTTCCACACCTAACATCCTCACCATACCTTTTGGGACACCTGCATGCTGTTCTCCTGCATGTTCATGATGGCATCCGAAATCTTCACATCAATGGGATCCATGACGGATTCAATGTTGAACGGTCCTTCCAGCCGCTCGGCTACCATCAGCATCGAGTCTGATCAGACAAAATAAAGGGCAAAGGGTTGAAAGGAAAATCTAGCCTGACAGATAGCAAAGGCATGCAACTATTTCCCTTCCAGTTGTTTTTCTGAACACAAGTCTCATTTCCCTGCTCCAGAATTCCTACACACACACACACACACACACACACACACACACACACACCAGCCAGATATTTGTGTAATCATGAGCAGTGGCTAAGGAAACCTTGCAAACACCACTTGAAAGCTGGGTTTCTCTAGCATTCCTGCACCATCCTGATGCTGCTATAAAGTCTTCCAGTTAAACAGAGAGGAAAAGGGGGCATCCAGCATGGTGTAATGGCTTGAGTGCTGGACTATGACTCTGGAGACCAGGGTTCAATTCCCAGTTCAGCCATGAAGCCTACTAGGTGACCTTGGGCAAGTCCCACTTTCTCAGCCTCTGAGGAAGGCAATGGCAAATCCGCTCTGGAGGAATTTGCCAAGAAAACCCCATGATATCTTTGCCTTAAGTTGGAAACGACCTGAAGGCACCGAGCAACAGCAACAAAGGAAACCTAGCATTTCAGAAAACTAGACAGACAGACCAGATGTTTCATTTTCCAATAGCTTTCTGCTCTCTTGCACCCTACAGTATTTCTTATGTGATTCTTGCTCCTACTCGTCCAACTTCCCCTCCCAGTGTGCCTTCAGAGCCCTTCGGGGAAAGATTCCAGACTCCTCCAATTGCATTCTTCCCTGAAATTTTGCAATCAGAGCCAATTATCTAAAATAAACAAGACCATCTTGCCATCTTTGCATCACTTGTGCGTGCTGCATTTCAGGTTTCCTTGTGATTTTCTTTTAAAGGGGGAAAAAAATGACAACATGCGTGGTCACTTTTCATTTGAAGGGCACCCCTGAAGTCATGGTGGGTGGGTGTGTGTGTGTGTGTGCATATGTGGCCCTTCAAGTTGCCTGTTAACTTAAAGCAACCCCATGAATTTCATAGGGTTTTCTTAGGCAATCCTCCGAGGTGGTTCAGCCAATTCCTTCCACAGAAATATATAGCCTACAGCACCTGGTGTCATTTGTTGTTGTGTGCCTTCAAGTCATTTCTGCTTTAGGCAACCCTAAAGCTATAGGATGTATTTCAAAGGAAGGCATTGGCAAAACCACCTCTAAGTATCCCTTAAGATCCTCCAGGGCAACTCTATGGTTCAACATCTGCCAGAAGTTGACCACAGAATTGTGTCAGAGGGCCTACAAATGCTCTCTCTAGGAATCTCTAAATTCTCCAGGGCAACTTCTGGCAAACGTTGGCCACAGAGTTGTGCTGGAAGATCTAGAGATTCCTAAAGAGAAAATATTAATCAAATCCATGAATAATCAAACCCACAAAAGTCAAAGCTGCAAATATGGAGGGCCTAATGTACCTCACCTCTCAAAATGGTGGCAGCAAGTCACTATCTGTCACCATTTTGATAGGGGCTGGAGAGAGAGAGAGAGAGAGAGACAGCATTTGTTGGGGGGAGCCTAATGTAGGGGTCTTGAGGAGAAACTGGCCCTCGCCACCACGCAGTTACCCACCCCTGATTTATATCAAAATATGAGGTTACTACAGCGAACTAAATCAGTTCCCTTGTTACAATCCAAATGACTTCTTTTTTTTAAAAGACAAAACAAAACACTGATTTGGAACAACATAGGTAGCACTTTTCTTGTTTTAAGAAACCAGAAATATTTCAACTACCGGTAGTTCTGAATCTTCAACAAAGAAGATTCCAGATGAATGAAATGTGTAGGATTTCTCCCCACAAAAAAATGGGGGCACCCTCTCCCCTACACTCGGCTACTTTTGGCCTTCAAGAGACCTCAAAGTCCAACCACTTTCCCCCCAGTTCCTTGGAACGCAGTTTTGAATTGGGGCCTCTGTGACTCAGGATGCCATGGCATCGCACACATCACCGCTAAGGAATGCAAGCCTGACTCTCTCTGGAAAAAAAGAGAGAGACAGACAGAGAAGGAAAATGCATTGCAATTTGGAAAGATAAGCAAATCCACCGCTGGGCTAGGAGGAGACATTCAGCTACGAACTCTTTGGCTGTGCCAGAGGGGCAGATAAGGGAGTGCCAAAGAGGAATAAATGAACAGGATGGCACCAAAGAACAAAACAGAAGCTGGCCTGGGGTGGAGGTGGGAGCCATTAAAACCAAAGCTGGAACTCAATGAAAAACTGAACACACACACACACACATACACACCCCACTTTTCAGAAGCAAAGGAATGAGGAGAGGGAAGCAAACAGTTCAGAAGACTACACCAGATCTTAGGACCTCCTGCTAAGATCTGGCAGAGACTCTCACCAACAGATCAATGGTAAATTCCCCCTTTCCCAATAATCTGCACAGCGTTTTGATTTTCATTAAGATTGGCCAGAGTTCAGTAGAATAAGACTTGCGTAGATGTGTTACACAAGCATAGAAGTGGAGATTAAAATGAACATACACCAAGTCCATAGTGCCATAAGGAAAAAACTATTGTCCCTTTTTTCATTTATTTCAGGGAATGCCTTCTCCCTGAAGCCTTATGGTTGCCCTAAGTTGGAAGTGACTTGAAGACACGCAACAACAACCTTGGATGGTCAGCATGGCCTTGTGGTCTCAGCTCTTGACCAGGCCTCCTCCGTAAGACCAGAGTTTGAATCCTCTCTAAGTGCTGGAAACTCATCGGGTGACCTTGAGTTAAGTTGCACTCTCACAGCCTCAGAGGAAAGCAGTGGCAAACCCCTTATGGACAAATCTTGCCTGGAAAACTCCAAGAGAGATATGCCCTTAGGGATGCCATAACCTTGGGTGGTTCCTTTGAAGTTTGGACTGAAACCCAGAGCAGAACTCATGCAACTCTCACACAGGAGAGATCCGTCCCCCAATGATTTTCTCTCTCTTTTGCCAGAAGCAGAATGAAAGCACAGAGATGGCCACACAAATACGTGATACAGCATACATGGACCAAATCCAGTCCGAGCAATATGAGTGTTCATGCCCCCATCCTCCCACACCTTGCCCCATCTTTTTAAAAGCTCTGGTAGCAGCAAGCAGATAAATCCAGAGGGCCTCTTGCTGTAAAGGGTCCAATTTGGGAAGGGAGACCCCTCCTGACAATACTATCAGACCCGGACGCTGCTTCTTGCAAGACGCTTTCCCTCTTGAGCTATTGTGAGCAATGCACAAGGGACTACAATTAGCAGATTGTCCTTTTCCATCCAATTGCTTGGCATCTTGCCTTCTCTTCTATAACATTCTCCTCCCCCCTGGCCTGCTCTCACACACACAGACACACAACTACAACTCTTTTCAGTTCTGGGCTGTTCTGGTTACAGTCTCGGATGAATTAGCTAGTGTGTTCACATCCTCTCTGATGAAACTGGGTTTCTAAGGCTCCGTGGAAAGACCAAGACAAGGCAAACCTCTGTAATAAGCTGTGTGCGTCTCTCTGTGTTTGTCCATCTGTGTGTGTGTGTGCGCGCGCAAGTGTGTGTATGCCACTGCATGTGTGTGGAGTTTGGACATGTCTGCCAAAGTAACATTCCAAAAAATCACTTGTGGACACGGCGGGAGGAGTCCAGCACAATTTATTTGGAAAATCTATTCAGCCCTTAGCAAAGTAGTGCTGCTTTTGAGAAAAGCAAGAGCTTGGGAATGGAAACAATTCCCATCGCCCATGCCACCTGGGAGGATTCTGGAACTTGCCAAAAAATAAAAGAGAAGAATCTCAGGCACATCCAGGCTGCTGGGAGGTGATTCTGACTCGCCAGAGAGGCGA